TCCTGTCTCCCGCCGTGAACCCCCCCCCCGCGGCCTGGCTGTACCTGTCTGCTCTCCTCCCCCACCCAGGCCTGCTGGCCTCCCTCCTGAAGTCCGCAGCTGCTGCAGTGTGGGTGGCTCTGCCGCCCTGCCTTCCTTCAGCTGCTGGGCTCCACTCTCCGCCAGCAGGCCCTTAGGCCGCTCTGCTGACAGGTTCCACGGGAGGGCCTCGTCGTTTGGGAAAGCACGGGAAGCCTCCCGCTCTTCACCACAGGCCTGTGTGTCCCATTAGAAGGGATCTCGAATACAGGCCCGGGCAAGACTTGTCCGTCAGAGCCTTTAGGGAGCAGCTGGTGCTTCAAGCAGATGCTCAGGTTGACAGACCTTTGCTGGGTGTGTGTGTGTGTCTGTCATGTTCAGGAGTCCAGCTGCTGAAGGGACGGCATGTCGCTTCTGCTGGATTCGGGGGGGAGGGAAGGGAAGGGAAGGGAGGTCGGACCCTGCCCAAGAAAGCCACAGGTTGGGTCCTATTGGCCAAGGGTGGGGGGAGGCTGTATCCTGGCACAGCCACTAGGGGTTTGATGGTCTCCGGAACTGGAGGCAGGTCTTTGCCCCTGACACCTTTTCCTCTGTCTTCTCAGGTGATGCAGGTGCTTAACGCAGATGCCATTGTGGTGAAACTCAACTCCGGTGACTGCAAAACTGTCCACCTCTCCAGTATCCGTCCACCTAGACTAGAAGGCGAAGGCACTCAGGTAAGGCACCGGCTGCAGGGGGCGATGGGAATGGCTGGGCCGAGTTCCGGTGGCCGTTGCCTGGTTCAGAATCCCTTCTTTGCCAGAAGCCTGGGGGGCAGATGGGGCGTGAGCCCTTGAAGGGCCTTGATTTGCCTGTGGCTGCCTTCCTCCTCCCCCCCATTTGTGTGAAGAGTGCTGGTTGGGGCTTGAGCTCAGTGGTTGGAGGCCTTTGGTTTTTAAAAGAAAGGCAGAATCTTGTGCTGCTTGGTTTATTTATCACCCTCAGCCCCTGCTTTCACTTCAGTGGCTCAGAGCAACTTTTTCCATGGTGATTGGCCTTGAGGTCATCACGCCGTGATTCAATGGGAGAGCAAACCCGGAACGCGGGAAGAGCCACTTGGCAGTTCTGTCTGTCCAGGGGGTGGGGCGGGGCCCCCCCCGGGATGCCTGGCGAATGCAGACTTGCCTTTCTGATGGGGGGAGAAGTAGGGTGGCGTCTGCTCTGGGAGAGAACTCAAGGAGCTGGTGTCCGATTCAGCAGTTTGTGTTTGGCGTTCAGCTTGTGTGTGCGGCTGCAAGATTTTGAAGCCTTTGATCAGTGTGCCTTTCTCACACACGGTGCCTTAGCAGATGGGGTGGTCACACCTGGGAGTCCTCCTGCAGATAACAAGCTGCTAGGCACGGTGCGCACCTGGTTCAGTTCCAGTTCTCTTCGCCCTGCTCCTGCTTCTGTTCTGAAAGGGGTTAGGGTTCTGCCGACGTGGCCGAGCCTTTGCCAAGGAAGAAGTTTCCTGTTTGCCAGCTCTGGTGTCTGGCTGGCTGCTCTCTGGCAGATTCCCTCCGTTCCTTGCCCATAAATGAGTTGCAGGGGGAGAAGGGTCAGTTCAGCACCTGGGACAGCATCAGTAGACTGGACTCCCGTGCTGCCGTTATGCGCGGTGGTTGTGCTCCTCCACAGGCGTAGAATCGCAGAAGGTGAAGCAGATAATGAACTTGAGGGGCTCTCCTGGGTTGCTAGCCCTTCGTCTTCAGAGTGTTCTGTAACGGTATAAAAGGGTCTTCTGCCTGCCAGGGAACCCGTTTGGCTTAAATGTCACTGAGGTCACATCCGGATCTTGGGGGAGATGAATGACCTCCTAGACCATTTCAGTCTGGCTTTGTCTGGCGTCTGGGGCAAACCACTCTGGCCACCCTAACAGGCAGCCTCCGCTAAGGGTGAGGCAGGGGGAGTGTGGTCCTGTTCTTCTTGGAACCCTCCAGCTTTTTTTGCCACCTCCCCTCACAGTCTTCTGGACCGGATGACTGGGATGACTGGGGGGGGGTTGGCTGTCCTGTGCTGCAGCAGTGGCTCTCTTCCTTGTCTGGCAGGCCAGTACCCGGGAGTGGCGCTGGGGCCTGCCGCTTGAGCCTGAGGGGACATCTGAGCCGTGGGTCTTGTCCCTAAGGCTCCGTTATGGCTCTGTCAGGCTAAGCTGCTCGGAGAGAGTGTCCCGGAGAGTCTGGAGCGAGAAGTTGTCCGTCTCTAGATGGTCCTCCCTTTTTTCACTGGAGTCAACTGATGCAGCGGACATTCTGGGAACCAGTGTCCCCTCTAAGCTGAGCTAGTGTGAGCTAGCTCACAGTGTTTTTTAGCCTCTGGCTCAGACATTTTTGTCTCAGCTCAGGAAGGATGGCTCCACCACAGACTAATTGATGCAGGAGCCAAATTGCTCGCTCACAACTTTTAATGCTAGTAGCTCACAAAGTAGAGTTTTTGCTCACAAGACTCCACCGCTTAGAAGGAGCATTGTGAGTGACCTGAAGGCCCTGGTGAGCTAGATTGGAGGGCCCACCACCATTGAAGCTCAGTCGGGGTGAGAGAGGTTGTTGGCGTGAAGCAGAGTCAGCCTTTCCTTGAATGGGGGCTGCAGTTGCCCTCAAGGAGAAGAGTTGCCACTTTTGGGGCACTTCTGGTTCCTGCTCTGCAGATGAAGGCATATGGGTTGCCTGCCTCTGCACAGTGTATGTGGTACACCCTTTGCCAGCTTTCAGTGCTGCATCCTCTCCTCGCAAGGCAAGACTTGGCCAGACTCTGATGGTATCCAGGCGAGATTACGTCTGGAAGTATGCACTGGAAGGACATGGGGAGCAGTGCGTGTGCTACTGCACAAGCAGGGCCCCAGGTGCCCACCCAGGTTCTCTGGTGGCCATTCGTTGTCCCTTCGGACCAAAAAGACCGAAGGCACTGAGGGAGCTGTCTGATAGGACCAGAAAAGAACAGTTTCTCTCTCCTTGCTGTGATGGAAATTGTCCGCGAGATGAGCCAAAGTTGCCTCCAGTGCCGATCCGGGCGCGGAGCCAGTTGGAAATGGGTCAAGGGCAGATGTGGTCCAGGTATCCAGCTGCCACGGCTCTCCTCCTGTCCCCTTGATCCCCTTTGCCAAGCAAGGGAAGTGGGAGGCAGGTCTCTAATTGTTCCCGTTCCCCTTTGCCAAAGCAGGCTTTCCCAGCCAAGGTCTGACCGCTTCCTCCTTGAGCAGGTTTGAGAAATCTGTAGTGGAAGGGAATTGCTGTGTCTGCGGCCATTTTGAAAAAGGCTTTCCTGCATTCTTGCGGGGCCGGCAATAAAGATGCACTGTGCATTGTGGTTCAGTCCCCCCCCCCCCCCCCCCCGCTTGGCGGTAAGCTGCCCTAAGAAGCAGATCTCATTGTGGGGTGGAAATGTTTACAATAAAATATACATCAAAGGGGGGTAGATCCTCCCACTCTGCCCAGCTGCGTTTGAAGCTTGGTTGGAAGGAAGACCCTCTGCAGGTGGAGGGCAGACTCCGTGGAGGGTGTTGGATCCACTCCAGTGTAAACCCACATAAACCCCCCTCCCCCGCCGGAATGTCAAGCAGCAGTAAGAACAAAACGGTTTTTTGAATGGCTGGCTGGGCAGCCAGAAGTTTTTACTCCTTAGAACTGGAGGGAGGTGGAGGAGGCTGCCGGGGGGTGGGAGTGGGGAAGCCTGCTTAGGATGCTTGCCTTAAAGAAGGATCCTGAGACCTTCCAGTGCTGGGCCAGGGAGGAGGCAACTCATCAAGCCTTGGGGCTGGAGGGGGGCGTGAACGTCTGAACTCTGAGCCCGGGGATGGGGCTCTGGCGTGGCCGGCGGGGGGGGAGGGGCTTCGCTTCACTTCCAGACTGATCTGCTTGCGGGTCGCAGCTGGACTCCCTGGAAAGATAAGGAGACAATGTGGCATTGCAGATTGTGCTTAATCCTGCTTGGATTAGGATGTAAAAGGTTTAAACATCTAAACTTCCCTTAGCAGTATTAGCTGAGAATTAACATGCACTGTTTGCATCCTTAGACAGTGCTGAGTGTGGCGTCCATTCTCTTTTCTGCCACCGGACTAATGCAGGCCACTCATTCCATCCCTCCTCAGTGGAGCGGTCATGTTCGGACCTGGCCAGTTCTGACTTGTGGGCTGACTTTGGGCTTATTGCTGGCGTTGGGGCCTGTCCAGACCTTGGTGTGTCCGTAGCTCAGCAGCCAAAGGTTCTTGATTGGGCAGAGGCCGTGATGATGGGGCACGACCTGTGGGCCCCCCACCTGCCTGTCAGCCGGCATCGGCCTCCACTGAATCATCTGTCGACCCCCCCCGCTTTGCCTCCCCAGCAGCAGTGGGGAGAGGGCCCCACCCCACCCCACCCACTCTGGGTGGATCAGCTCTTCTTCTGCTTCGGCCTTGTCTTAATCACTGGCCTGCCTTTGGGGTGCTGAAATCGCCCCCCCTCCCCCCCCCGGGAATTCACATTGATTATAATTGGGCACAGAGGCCCTGAAAAGCCTGGGAAAAATCAGGGAAATGTTTTCTCCATTTTTACTGAGTGCGTTTCCATTTTCCCCCCCAGTGGGAAAAAGTTGGAAGATTTAGGGGAGCCACTGTTTATTTCCATTGACTGCCCCTTCCCCCACTCACTAAATGAATAGACTTGCGCCTCCTGGGAAATCTGTGGGCCGGTGATAGGGAGGGGAGCTGCTGATCTTTGCTTCCGAGTGGCCTGCCTTTGCCTGGGTGGCTCTGGACGCCCTGATGGGAGGGGAGGGCTGAAGGCTGGCTCTGTGCAGAAGACCCCGGTATCGAAGCCGACCCCCCCCAGGCGCCTGCCTGCCTGCCTGCCCGCCCCTTTGGACCGTGGGGTGCTTGGAGGCAGCGGCTCAGGGGTGGGGGCAGGGGGAGCGGCCTTTCTTTGGCCACGGCTGGCGCGCAGACGGGGCCTCCACCCTTGAGCAGGTCTCCAAGAGCGATAGTTTATCTTAACTTGGTGCTTCCAGAGCTCTTTGGAGCTGCTCTTTGTGCACTCCCTGGCCCGTGAGGTTTGGACATCCCAGTCGCTGGCGCTGCCCTTGGGTGGCAGAGAGAGGCCAACCCCCCCCTCGCTCTCTCGCTCCTGCCAGCCCAGGGCTGCTTTACAAGCTGTGTGCTGCACACTGCTGGGGCTTCCATGGTGTAGGGTAAACTGAGGAAGCCCAGCCGCTAGCCCTGGCAGGTCAGTGGCAGAGCACGTGCCAAGCCGCTGCATCCCCTGAAAGGTCTCGGGGGGGGGGGCAGGCGGCACAGTTGGGGGGGACGTGGAGGGCTGCTGCTGTGCACAGACGAGTCGAGGGCTGACGGGGAGAGACACCTGACGGGGGCTCCTGCCACAACCTCGGGCCTCTCTTCCGGGCTGCTCTCCTCGCAGGTTTGAAAACAGGTGCTCAGAAGGTTTCCGGCTGCACGGTGCTTAAACAATTATGCGTCTTTGCTTCCGGACGCCAGCTTTCCCCTTCAGCAGATGTGACGGCGCGTGCAGTGGGTGTGCTTCCACATAGCTCTTCTTAGCAGGCTCCTTTCCATTGGCTCTGCAGGCAGCGCAGGCGATGCCTGCTGTTAGAGCCAAGAGGGGTGGGCAGGGGGGGGCACCTGTGCCGGGGATTCCGTTCTGTGGCAACTTCAGCTTAACTCCATGCTGCTGGGCGGTATTTGAGCAGTACCAGAAGTTGGATTGCTGGTGCGAGTCTTTGCAGCAAGAGGGCGTGGCTAAATTAAACTTATGGAGCAGAAGTCCACCAGTGGCTATTAGCCACAACGTATAGATGGAACATTAGGTCTGGGCCAATGATGCTTTGTAACATTGGTCCTTGGGGGGGCAACAGTGGGAGGGCTTCTGGTGTCCTGACCCCACTGGTGGACCTCCTGATGGCACCTGGGTTTTGGCCACTGTGTGACACACAGTGTTGGACTGGACTGGAGGGGCCACTGGCCCGATCCAACAGGGCTTCTGTCACGTCTGGGGCAGTGATGCTCTGTCTTCTTGGTGCTTGGGGGGCCACAGTGGGAGGGCTTCTGGAGTTCTGGCCCTGCTGGTGGGCCTCCTGACGGCCCCTGGGTTTTGGCCACTGTGTGACACAGAGTTTTGGACCGGGTGGGCCATTGGCCCTTGATCCAGCATGGCTTCTCTTATCTTCTTATGTCTGGGGCCGTGATGCTCTGCCTTCTTGATCCTTGGGGGGGGCAACATTGGGAGGGCTTCTGGAGTTCTGGCCCTGCTGGTAGACCTCCTGAGGACAGCTGACTTTTGCCTACTGTGTGACACAGAATTTTGGGCTGGATGGGCCATTGGTCTGACCCAACATGGCTTCTCTCAGGTTCTTATGTCTGGGGTAGTGATGCTCTGCCTTCTTGGTGCTTGGGGTGGGGGCAACAGTGGGAGGGCTTCTGGAGTCCTGGCCCCACTGCTGGAGCTCCTGATGGCCCCTGGGTTTTGGCCACCGTGTGGCACAGAGTGTTGGACTGGAGGGGCCAGTGGCCTGATCCAGCGTGGCTTGTCTCCTGTTCTTAGGCAAACCACTCTCTTCTGGCATTCCCCCCCCCCCAAGATCCCAGGGGCTGCACCTCCATGGAAAGGTGGTGTTTCCACCTAAGCCACGGTCCCTGAGGTGGGAAATGAGCTCTTAACTTGTAAATCAGGAGCGCCGCCAAATCCCGAAGGGCCCTCACCTCACACTTGTAGCAGCCGATGTGAAAACTGCGGTCCAACGCGACGATCCGCACCGTCTCCTCTTGCCCCGGCTCCGGCATGATGGCGTTTCCACACACTGAACACCGGGGAGCAAATTTCCTGGGGGAGGGGGGGAAGAAGGGAGAAGGAGTCAGCTGCAGCTTGGATGCCAAACAACATCCTCCGCCGGGGGAAAGGCCGCTTCCGCCGGGGGAAAGGCCGCTTCCGCCGGGGAAGGGTTCCATGGAAGGAGCTGCCAGGGTCCCCTGCTGGGCCGGTCCAACCCGCCAGGTTGCCTCCCATGGCTTCAGCCCCCCTTGCCCCCCCCAGCCCATGAGGCTGCCCTGGCAGCTGAACGCCCAAGATGGCGGAAAGCCAGTTACCGGTGGAAATCTTCAATGCAGTGGATCTGGCTGGTGGCGTCGACCGTGAAGGGGACGCCGTCCAAGCAGCGGTGGCAGACGACGCAGGTGAAGCACTGCGGATGGTAGGCTTTGCCCATCGCTCGCAGGATCCGGTCCATGATGGCCTTGGAGCACATCGAACACTTCTCCAGGGTCACCTAGCAGGACGAAAGGAAATGGGCCGTCCCCCCGTTACTGAAGGATCGCCGGGTCCCCTACTAAAGCAGAGGGGGCGCCCCGTGCCGGCCACAACAGCAGAGCGGCAAAGCCAGATACAACCGTGTGTGTGTTTGTGCTTGCGGCCTGCCAGATTCGTGAACTTCGCCACACACAAAAGGAAGTCTGGTGCGAGGAAGACACACAAAATCAACACAGAATATTGAGGGCAAGAGAGTTGCCGTGAGGGCAGCCCGCTCATACCGGGGAGACTTTGGAAAGCGTGATTTTCAAGGTGTTAGCCCCCTTCCCACAATCCTTTGTGGGGCCCCAGCTTCTTAGATTTAAAGCCCAGCCTTCCAATGACTCCTGTCACCTATTGGCAGAGCTGCTGTGATGTCACTGAATGTTCACATAAAAAGAAGTCTTTGGTCCCGGGTCACACGTACCTGAAAATGCGCGCGCGCGCGCGGGGGGGGAAGCGCGGCTACTTGTGCCGCGATAATTTGACCCGCCGCTGCGCAATCCAACGCAATGGCAGGTGTTTTCCCTTGCAGCCTGCTTCCTGTGACGCAATTGGAGCATGCCAGTGTGATCACACCAGCAACTCTGTCTCTGCCCGTCGCAACCTCTTTGATAGTGGATTTTCTGTGGTGTTTTTTTACTCCGCTTCTTTGGCTGACTGCTATAGGTTGCTGATGGGTGCCGGACACTTGCCAGTTGTGTCCGTGTGATCGGGCCCGTAAAATCCGACCAGCACTCGTGAGTAATGTGGGGCAAATTCTGCGTGTGATCGGGGCCTTAGTCTCTCAGGAGGAAAGTGCCAGCGACAGAATGCTGGCAAACACTGCACATTGGAGCGGGGGACAGTGAAAGGTCCATAGGGCAAGAAATAAACCGTATGGGGGATGGCATGACCGTATATGAAGCAGCCTTCTACTGAATCAAACCCTGCGTCCATCAAGTTCTGTCTTGTCTACTCCGACCAGTAGCGGCTCTCCAGGGTCTCAGGCAGAGAAAGTCTTTCTAATCACCTGCTGCCCGATTCTTTAACTGGAGATGCCGGGGATCGAAGGCGGACCCTTTGGCATGCCAAGCAGATGCTCTGCCACTGAGCCTCAGCCTCTCTACAACAAGAGAGGGTCTGTGAGCCCCAAGGAGCTTCAGAGGTTAAAGACTATGAGGACAGAGAAGGCAACTTGGCTTTTAAAATACATCCAGTTAACCAACCCAACCTTTGGATGCAGCAGTCCAGTTGTAAAGTTTCCAGAATTTCAGTCGTGTCTCCCTTCCCGTGGGTGGAAGCAAAGTTTCCCCTCTCAGTCCTGCCTTGGGGTGGGGGTGGGGGGCTGAATCCCCTCGCGCCTTTCCACCACAGGTGATCAAAACCAAGAGATCCCTGGGATCCAACCCATGAACAGCAGCACTCTGTCCCAGCTATTCTGGTCCCCGAGGATCTCTAAGCCTGAAGGATTGGGGGGGGAGGGAGAACTGGTGGAACAGACCCGAAGGATCTTCCAATTGGATGAGCCTCCAGTGCCAGTGTTCCCTCTAAGCTGAGTTAGTGTGAGCCAGCTCACAGTTTTTTAGCCTCCAGCTCACAAATTTTTGTCTTAGCTCAGGAAGGATGGCTCCAGGGCAAACTAATTTATGCAGTAGCCAAATCGCTCGCTCACAACTTTAATGGCAGTCGCTCACAAAGTAGGATTTTTGCTCACAAGACTCCGCAGCTTAGAGGGAACATTGGCCTCCATTCATTAATGAGAACCAAGCAAATGGATTTCACAGGCTCCAGGACCTGACCTATCCTAATAGTTCTGAGCTGGTAAGATGCTGCTGTGTCCAGTCGACCCAACAGCCTTTTCCTGTAGTTTGTGGCATGGCTTACTTGCTTGAGTCATCTGGGGGCATCTCTGCAGGAACACTGTCGAACTTGACATCTGCTCACAGCAAGATCCAAACGGGAGGGTGTGAGCTGTGCATGCCGGGCAGGGGGCATGCCTCTCCCCTGTTATTCTACCCCAGGGGTCACAGTAGCAACCCCGCCCCCCCTTAATTGCTCAGGTTACAGGGACGGTCTTTTGACAGTTCCCGATCCCGCAGTTCTGCAGATCGAAGACTAGAGAGCCCCCAGATCCCAGCTGTTTCCCCATGTCAGTAGGGACACCTAACAGGGGTCTCTGGACCAGCAGGTTTCCCTCTTTGCCCCTCCCCCCCCAGGCGTCCCTGAAGCTTATCGCCACTCACAATGTAGCAGGATTCACAATAGGAGCGCCGGTCGATGGCGTAGAAAGGCTGACCCCGAAGGCGACAGTGGCAGGTGGAACAGGTGAAGCATTCCACGTGGAAGACCTGGTCCATGGCCACGCAGCCCGTGCCGTCCCCCACCACGTTCTCGCCACACCGGGCGCATCGACCTGAGCGAAAGGGGGACAAGCGGTAACATGGAGATCTAGGGTTAGGGGGCCGGGAAATGGAGTGACTGTAGGAGCCGGTGGTAGAAACTGTCGTCAAGTCCCAGGGTATCTGGAGAAGCGAGCCGTGTGACTCCCGAAAGCTCCTCCCCGGCCACACATTTTGTTTGTCTTTAAGGTACTGTCAGAACCCACAGCTAACAACGAAGTACACGCATTCAGGAACGGTTATACTTTTATTGCAAAGCTATAGATGCAGTAACACAGGCACTGTTAGGAATGGCCACAGCCACTAGAGCCTAATAGGATATAGGGTATTCGTATGCACCCGCACAGGGCATTGGCCAATTAGGCACCCTCCCGCGCGCGGGATAAGTCAGGCAACCGTTAGGTGGCTAAAGCTGAGAACCAGGAGTCTCTCACGGTACATAGGAGCCCTCCAGACAACACAACATCCTCCTGCACATCTGTCGAGATAAGCGTTACAGCAAAGGCATAGCAGCAGGGATAGGAATGCAATAGCAATTAACAAGACACAGAATGAACTCCCCCACCCCCATGGCAGCATAGCTGACAGGTACTCCTGGACACTTGCTCTTTTCTGCTGGCAACCTCATAGTGTTGTCAGGGCAAGAGACGTTCAGAGATGGGTTTTGCCCTTGCCTGCCTCTGCGTCACGACCATGGACTTCCTTGGTGGCCTCCCAGCCAAATAGTAACCAGGGCTGACTAGAGATGTAAACTTTCTGGAAATTTTGAAGCTCGGACAAAAAACCGTTTTTTTCCCGGGGGAAATGGAAATTTTCGGAAAATTTGGGGGGGAAATGCTACATTAGCACTTCTTTTATCTTTTCCAGATTGAAAGTCATTCTGTTATACTTTAGGAACATAAAATATGACTATGGACATTTTTACTTGGCATGAAATTATCACAACTAGCCTATTAAAAATATAGTGTCTCCAAACAACTATTACAAACAGAATACCCACCCACATGCAAAAACAAAACTGAAACCTTTTTCTTTTCTTGTGACAATAGCACCTCCTAAAGGAAGAAATGCATCTTGTTCTTGCATTGGAGAGTTCAGTTGGTAACCTAGGACTTGCTTGTCCTCAGTGCACAGAAATTAGATCAATCTGATACCATATGTATTTTTTAGAAATTATTTGGAAAATATTTGAACACCTTGTCTTAAAATATTTTATCCGTCATGTTAAAATAAAACGTTCCATAATCAATTTTCTTTTCTTTTTTCAATTTTTCGGAAAAAAAAACAAAAAAGGCTTCAGGGAAAAAGAATTTTTCCAGTTCTCTCCCGGGCCTTCACATCTCTAGGGCTGACCCTGCTTCGCTTCTGAGATTTGATGAGATCCGGCTATTGTCCCCATGCCACTACTGATAGCAGCATACTTTCAGCATCACGCACCACCTTGTTGCCATGCTTAGAACATACCTTGGAGGCAGACCAGGATTAAATCCCTGGATTGCGGGGGGGGGGGGGGGGGGCTGAATTTGTGGCAGAGTTGAACTTTGAACCTGAAGATTTCCAGGGCGACGCTGCATTAACCAGGCTCACTGCCGTGCAGCCACCAGAGTTGCCAGCAGTGTTCTCTCTAAGCTGAGTTAGTGTGAGCTAGCTCATAGGTTTTCAGCCTCCGGCTCACACATTTTTTGTCTCGGCTCAGGAAGGGAGGGCTCCAGAGCAAACTAATTTATGCAGCAGCCAAATCGCTCGCTCACAACTTTAATGCCAGGAGCTCACACAGTAGAATTTTTGCTCACAAGACTCCACAGCTTAGAGGGAACATTGGTTGCCAGCCTCCAGGTGAGACCTGGAGATCCCCTGGAAATTATAACTGGTCTCCAGACAACAGAGATCAGTTCCCCTGGAGAAGACAGCCGCTCTGGTGGGCAGTGTTCCCTCTCAGCTGAGTAAATGTTTGCTCGCAAGACTCAGCAGCTTAGAGGGAGCACTGCTGGTGGGTGGCCTTTACGGCGTTACACCCCACCGAGGGCCCTTCCCCAAACCCCACCCTCTACCCTGACATCTCTAGGAATTCCCCAATCCGGAGCTAGCAGCCCTAACTGCCGTACAGCCCTACAGAGAAGTTCTGCCTCCAAACCGGAGCCACCCTGAGGGCCCTCCCCACGGCCAGATCTCCCGGTCGGGTTCCTCACCAAAATACTCGCCGGACGGAGGGTTGTTCATGTCATACACAAGTTTCTTTGTCAGCCGATCGAGCTCTTCCTCTGGGCGGCTTGGAGGGGCCTGCGGGGGCGGCAGGGAGAAAGGAAGCAACGGACCCTCAGTGCCGGGGAGAGGCCGGAGGAAACCCAGCCGTGGTTGCGGCTGACTCAGCAAAGGACTGTTTCGGTACCCCTTTTCCCCCAAGGCTGTGGCTCAAGCCAGACCGATGTGACGTAATTAAGGGCAGGGCCTCTGAGTGTGTGCCAAGTGCCGTTTCCCACACCGGTCAGACAGGACAGGCCACGCACATGTGGGGGCGCGCACAGAGCTTCCTGACCAGAGGGTCTCCCTTCCAGAGAGGTCTGACGGGAGTTACTGCACTGACGTACGCAAACACATTCAGGCTGCTTAGAAAAGCCACAAAAACTATAAAACCCACAAGACACACTCTCTCTCTCTCTCTCTCTCTCTGCCCTTTGACGGAAGTCCCCACCCCACCCCACCGTGACCCTATTGTGGGGACTAGGAAAGGTGAGGGGAAGGTCACATCCTGAACTCAGAAACCTCCATGTTCAAAGGCAGTCAACCTTTGCATCCCAGTGCCAGGCGGCCGCACCGTGTTTCTCTGCCCTGTTGTTGGCCCTCCGGAGGACCTGGCTGGCTGCTGTGTGAGACCAGGAACCAGTCCTGGTGGCACCTGGGATTTTCAGCTACTGTGTGACACAGAGTGTTGGACTGGATGGGCCATTGGCCTGATCGAACATGGGCTTCTCTTACGTTCTTATATGGAGCAGAAGTCCATCAGTGGCTCTTAGCCAGAAGGTATAGATAGGAACTCTCAGGCTGGGGCAAGGGATGCTCTGTCTTCTTGGTGCTTGGGATGGAGGGCAACAGTGGGAGGGCTTCTGGTGTCATCTGGCCCCACTGCTGGACCTCCTGGTGGCACCTAGTATTTTCGGCTACTGTGTGACTCAGAGAGCGTTAGGCTGGATGGGCCACTGGCCTGATCCAGCATTGGCTTCTCCTATGTTCTTATGTCAGCCCCTGGGGAAACTGGCTGCTTTGGAGAATCAGCTCTCTGGCACTGTACCCTGCTGAGGTCTCTCCCCCCCCTCCCCCAACCCCCCCCCTCCCCTCTCCAGGCCCCACCCCCCGAGTCTCCAGGAATCTCAGACCTGGAGCTGGCACCCCCACCTCTCCCACCCTCACTGGCACAATCCCCACTCTCTTCTTCTTACCTGGTGCTGGTATCGCAACCCTCCGCCGCCGGCTGGCATCTGCGAGACGGCCGCCAACTCCTCCTTCCCCGGCTTCACCAGCCCGGACTGGTACTGCCCTCCCGGGGAGCCCAGCTTGGCATGCCCTCCGGGGGCGGCGTAGAACTCCCCCTCGCCCGCCCTCTTGCCGTAAGACGGCGGCTCCGGGTACCAGGGGTCTGCCTCGTGGGGCCGGACCCTGAGCCCCGGCTCGGAGGCATACTGAGGGGGCAGCTTGGCCCCGTAGCCCGGCCGTGGGGACGGAGGGCCGTAGGCTTGCTCAGCCCTGCGCCGCGGCTGGTTGTAGCCCAGGACCGGCTGGGCCACCTTCACTTGGATGTTGAAATGGGGACTGGGAGAGGTCGAGGCCGTGGCGTAGGAGGCTGGCGTCGGCTGAGGGAACGGCTTGGGGACCGCCGTCGCCCGGTGGTAGCCCGCCCCGTAAGAGTCGCTGGATACCAGGGCGCCGTACTGGGAGGGCAGCCCCGAGGAGGCCGGGTAGATTGGCGCTTGCGACGGGGGTCCCCCGTAAGGCACGCTCTTGGCATAGGAGTCGGTGGCGAAGGCGGCAGGTTTGCCAGGAGGGAAGGCACCCGAGGGTCCCGGCTTGTAGGCACCGGTAGGCTTGGAGGCGCCCGGCTGTGGTGGGGCGGACGGGTACGGAGCGGAATCCACATTCTGGAGGAAGGAACTCAGGTCAGGAGTGGGCAGGACTGAGCGGGGGTCGGGGGAATCACGGGGCCCCTCACCACCCTTCTCTCGTTTCCCTACCTGCCTCTCACCCCGGCGGTGCCCGGCGCTCTCCATGTCCGCCAACATGTTGGTGAGCGAGTCTATCTGGACGTCGATGCTGGAGGAGCAGGCCGGTCGCTGGTCCGGGGAGGGGCCCTGCGGGGACAACGAGGGGGAGGGAGAATGGGGGTGGGGTTGGTCTTCTTCTAACAGTTGGGCTCTAAAGCAGTGTTCTCTCTAAGCTGTGGAGTCTTATGAGCAAAACTTCTACTTTGTGAGCACCTGGCATTAAAGTTGTGAGCAAGCAATTTGACTACTGCATAAGTTAGTTTGCTCTGGAGCCATCCTTCCTGAGCTAAGACAAAATTGTGTGAGCTGGAGGCTAAAAATCTGTGAGCTAGCTCACACTAACTCAGCTTAGAGGGAACACTGCTCTCAAGAGAGTGCGGGTGGAAGGGGCTCACCCGCACCACAAGGCCGCTGCCGTCTCCCCGCCACACCCTGACTCTCCCCCGCGTGGCTTGAATCCCTACCGCAGCAGCTCATCAGGCAGACGTTCAACAGGGGTGGCTTCCCACACGACACCACCTGCCTGGCAGGGTTCCCTCTAAGCTGAGATCGGAACAAAGTTTATTGTACGTGGCCACCAATGTTCCCTCTAAGCTGAGTTAGTGTGAGTTAGCTCACATTTTTCTAGCCTCCAGCTCACACATTTTTGTTTCAGCTCAGGAAGGGATGGCTCCAGAGCAAACTAATTGATGCAGCAGCCAAATCGCTGGCTCACAACTTTAATGCCAGGACCTCACAAAGCAGAATTTTTGCTCACAAGACTCCACAGCTTAGAGGGAACATTGGTGGCCACTGGCCGTCACAATTCCATATAAAACTAAATCCCTAATATCTTAAAATGCACACTTAGTGATTAAATTCAGTGGGAATTAAATTCATTTGTACAGTATCTGAAATATCAAAAATGCCTCAAATCAAAATTGTGTACAGCGTTTACAGACTCCAGTTGCAATTGTAACGATGTCAATGCCTTGCACCTCAGTAGGCTGCGTTCCTAAGAGCCACCTTTGCCTGAGCTTTCCTGGCTGCCAACGCGGAAAGTGCTACCTTACAAGACAACAGAAAAATTAGCTTGTCACTGTCAGAAAAACTGTGCAGTTGATTAAGTATTTGAGATAAAAATCTATTTCTAAGGTCCGAATATAGTGGACAAATCATTATGTAATGAAATAGATCTTCAATCAGGGGTCATTTCCTGCGGGAGCGCACAGGAGCGGAGCTCTGGCAGTAAGGAGCCCAGGGGGCAGGCACATGCAACAAGCCCCGCCCCCTGGGCTCCCAGCAGCCCTCAGTTGGGCCATGAGGAGCAAGAAGCAGCCAGGTAAGTTGCAGAGCCCCCCGCCCCCCGCCTTCAGGCACAAGCTCTCCCTCCTCTGTGAGGGCAGATCTGCACGTCCCCCCCCCCATAACTAGCAATCCAAAACAGTCCAGTGGCACCCTTAAGACCAAGTTTTGTTCAGGTACAAGCTCTCCCTCCTCTGCGAGGACAGATCTGCACGTTCCCCCCCCCAATAGCTAGTAATCCAAAACAGTCCAGTGGAGCCTGAGTGGTGGGTGTTGCCTTCTGACACACTTCCGGTGATGTCAGGGGTGTGTGGCATATGCAAATAAGTTATGCTAATGAGCTCCTGCACCTCTTTTTCAATGAAATGTCCCCTGTCTTCAATAGAAGTTCCACACAGACAAATACGTTGTTCTAGGCGATTTTTTAGTTATCTTCCAGTTAGTACTTCTGATGGCATGTTCTGAAATCGTAATGCCGTGAATGCCACTCGTAGACAATGTGCAATAATGTTTATCAAATAGGAGGGTCTTCAATGGTCTTTAAGTTTTTATACCAAGGGGCAGATTTTGACGGAGCAATTAACTGGTTATCAATTACATACGTACCCCCAAGAGCACTTTGGTCGGGGACACAACATCGCCTGGCAATTCCAGGCCCCAAGGAGGTAAGGCTTGCGGCGACCAGGGCCAGATCCTTTTCAGTGGTGGCCCCTACCTGGTGGAACAAGCTCCCAGAGGAGATTAGGGCCCTGCGGGACCTCATGCAGTTCCGCAGGGCCTGCAAGACGGAGCTCTTCCGCCAGGCTTTTAATTAGGAGCCGCCACTACCACCACTACTACCATCATGTGGTTAATAAATAACAGGACGGAAGGACGGCCACGGAAGATCTGCCAAAATACTACACGGCACTGGTACCACCGGACTATGTACTAACTGTAGTCGGACTCTGTACCAACTATAGGCAATACCACCTTTAATAGCAGCCTGATATTCCCCTGCAATCTATGGAGCCCATCCTGTTCTTATTGAGCACTTTATCCTTCGTTGATTTAAATGGTTTTACTGTTTTATTCTGTTTTACTGTGTTTTTATGTGTGAGCATCTCCACTATATACCCTTTGTCACAGATCTTGAATATTCCCTAAGGGTCTAAGCAAGTCATCCGGTACAGTGTATCGAGAAGTGGTGTTATGAAAAAATAAAGAGCCGTGTTCCCTCTAAGCTGAGTTAGTGTGAGCCAGCTCACAGTTTTCTAGCCTCCAACTCACGCGTTTTTGTCTTGGCTCAGGAAGGATGGGGCTCCAGAGCAACGCTCCCTCTAAGCTGTGGAGTCTGGTGAGCAAAAATTCTACTTTGTGAGCAACTGGCATTAAAACTGTGAGCCAGCGATTTGGCTGCTGCATAAATTAGTTTGCTCTGGAGCCGTCTTTCCTGAGCTAAGACAAAAATCTGTGAGCTGGAGGCTAAAAAACTGTGAGCTAGCTCACACTATCTCAGCTTAGAGGGAACACTGCTCCAGAGGAAACTGTGCAGTATCCACATCGCTCACTCACAACGTTCATGCCAATAGCTCACAAAGTAGAATTTTTGCTCACCAGACTCCACAGCTTAGAGGGAGCCTTGGTCTGCACCCGGAAGTCATGGCCACCTCTGGTGACTGACCCCTCCTGGGGGCCTGGAGGATATTCAGGGAGGTGGCTGAGTCAAGCCTGCCCCCGCCTCCCCACTGCTGGTATTCCAAGGAGGTCTCCCATCCAAGGACTTGCCGGAGTCGACCCTGCTTAGCACCCGAGATCTGATGAGGCTGGCCTGGGCTACCCCGGTCAGTGCACATTGCTGGGTTTGAAAGGGGTTCCCCGAGCCGGCTGCTCCTCCACCCAGCTGACCCCTGCCCAACTTACCTGCCCGTGGTAGCCTGGAGGAGAGACGCTGCCCCAAGAGCCCCCCGATCCTCGATCCTCTTTGGCTAGGTAACGAGGCTCAGCCGTGGCGTCCTGGGGGAGGGATGGGGGCCCTGGCACGAAAAAGAGGGAGGGAAACAGGTCAGAGTTTTCAGGATGGGATTATCCAGAATCCCAGCCGGTGACAGACAAAGTCAAGGTCAAAGCTATGTTCTCCGCCGGCAGTGCTAGGAGGACTGTTGCAGGAGACTGGAGAGAGACAGAAAAAAGAGCACCGACTTATCACTAGTGTTCCCGCTAAGCTGAGTGAGTGCGAGCCAGCTCACAGTTTTTTAGCCTCCGGCTCAAACATTTTTTGTCTCCGCTCAGGAAGGAGGGCTCCAGAGCAAACTGATCTATGCAGGAGCCAACTCACTCACTCACTCACAATTTTAATGCCAGTCGCTCACAAAGTAGAATTTTTGCTCACAAGACTCCACAGCTTAGAGGGAGCATTGCTCACAAGACTCCACAGCTTAGAGGGAGCATTGCTCACAAGACTCCACAGCTTAGAGGGAGCATTGCTCACAAGACTCCACAGCTTAGAGGGAGCATTGCTCACAAGACTCCGCAGCTTAGAGGGAACATTGCTCACAAGGCTCCACAGCTGAGAGGGAGCACTGCTGATCACAATGAGTAGCTGACATGTGGAACTCCCTGGCACAAGATGTGGTGATGGGTGGAGGCTGAGACGGACTTTAAAGGCAGCAGGACAATTCGATGGAGGAGAGGGCTATTTGCTGGCTGTTAGCCAAAGGGTTACCAACTCTAAATACCTGAAGGTTTAGGGGTGGAAACCACAGGAAGTGCCATGTAAAACTACAACACGGAAGAGAAAAAGAAAACAGAAACAGACCACAAAACGGGACTGTTTACGTTGATGTATCTATTTGGCATGTTTTCATCCTTAGAAGTTTGGTGGAATGTTTATAAATAGAAACGTCTGTTGCTTGTGAAAAAGGTGAAAGAGTGACACTAAGCTTTGGTGATACAAAGATAGTTGTTATATCACAGTTGGATTTTGCTATTTACCACCCGCCTGGAGGCTGGCAGCCCGACTTGAGGGGGTGACAGCGCTGACCCATGCAGCAACCCCATGTCCAAGCAGGGGTTGGCCAGACGGCCCTGAGAGGCTTAGAGTCATAGCCACCCTCAGCATCTTGGGTTGCCAACTTTGAGCTGGGAAATTCCTGGAGATTTGGGGGTGGGGACTGGGGAGGGACCTCATTGAGGTATAACGCATACAATTTGCCTGCCAAAGCAGCCATTTTCTCCAGGGGAACTGGTCTCTGCAGTTGGGAAATCAGCTGTGATTCCAATGGATCTCCAGGTACCACCTGGAAATTGGCACCCCTATGTAGTACCTCTAACCCCAGAGGTGACCCACTTTTGGATAAGATAAGAGTTTCCCTTGCGACCACTGCGGCTAGAAGACACAGACAATCACATTCTTCACTTAATCCTTCCGAAAACACTGGTTGTGCTGACACAGATCACAAAATCCAGGGGCAAAGAGTTTCAGGGGAAGAAGAAGAGGAAAAGATTGGATTTCTACCCCATGGCCCTTCACTACCCAAAGGAGTCTCAGAGCAGCTCACAAAGTCCTTTCCCTTCCCCTCCCCGCCACAGACACCCTGTGAGGGAGGGCTGAGAGAGCTCGGACAGAAACTGCTCGTGAGAGAACAGTTCTGAGGGAACTTGTGACTGACCCAAGGTCACCCCAGCAGCTGCATGCGGAGGCGTGGGGAATCAAGCCCGGTTCTCCCAGATTAGAGTCTGTGCTTCTAACCACTACATGTCGAGACCCACCCACTATCTTCTGCTGGCCCTCAATCCACTGCCTGTTATGGGGGCGGGGGGGACGACGCCTGGCTGTACCGTGACAAAACAGGCAATCTTTCCCCAACACCCTCTTCTTCCAGGTCTCCCTCGGGGCCTCATTCCCCCGCCCCCCCCTCCAGCCTGTCCTGTGATTGTCTCTTCCCTCAACTGCCAGTGCTCATCTGCTAAAGATACCCGTGGTTATACAACCCGCTTGATTGCCGTGGACAGAGGCCAAGAGCTTGTGGCTGCAGAGGCCAAGAGCTTGTGGCTGCAGATGTTCCTCGGCAGAATACTCCAGCTCGGGAGCCGGCCCAGCCCCCCCCCCCCCCCCGGGAGAACAGGGGGTCTTA